TCAACTCAGAAACTAAGGAAGTATCCTAGGGTCTGCATTCTCACCAGGAGACATTAAACTTGAATACACTGACTCATCCTACTCCAGGGTGTTTCTTATTCAAAGTTAAAACCATAGTTAGGTTGAAAATCTATTCAAAACAACCTGGAAACACTTTTTTCTTAAACAAAGCACAAAAGCAAGGTACTAAATGATCCCAGGCTTCAAGACTCATTCTCTACATTCTTTGAAAAGGGGCCTTTGCATATCCTACACCCCGCCCCCCAGTCCCCTGTGACAACACAGCACTCCATCCTCTAGGACAAGGTGAAGTCAGATTTCTGTAAACACCTGGAGTCAAAGACCCTGGGGCCCAATGCTGTCACCAACACATCCAATCATAAAGAAGTTAGAATTGTTGGGTGGGGCTTCCGAGCCAGAATTTAGGGATTTAAAGACTGAATCCTGTGCAGCTGGGATCGATTCTGGATCCCCAGGAACCATTGAAGAGCTGAGTCTGTGGAGTGCACAAGGACAGCACTGAACATCTCAGGTGAGGCCCTGGCTCTGCCAAAGCAGATCGGGAAGTGGAGGAGAGCCCTAGAGAGATTCCCTGGAGAATGAGGCAGACCTATTATGAATGAGAAAATCTCACCATGGGGACCCTGGTAGAGAAGCAGAGGAGGATGGATGGAGGAGTGAAAGAGCCAACCAGGCCCCTCAGGTATCCAACTTTGTGCTTGATCCCTATGAGTACAAGAGTGAGCCTGGTCACAGGGAATGACAGTTGGTACCCTGCACAATGGCCATGCCCAGTGCATCCCGTTCAGTTAAGATCACCTTTTCCATATCAAGAGATCAAGTCAGATCTCTTCTTGCCTGCTCAGAAGGAACACCAAGCAGCGTGCCCCTAACCTGGCATCTTCTGGGGAAGTTCAATGGAAGTCTGGGAAATCTTGAGCTGAGTGTCTTGAGAATTCTCTCCTCCCAACTCCATTCACCTAGTTGCTCTGGCTTCTAGTGTGAATCCTTGTGAATCCCTTCCTTTTTTGAAGCAGTGAGCAGAGACTCAGGAGGCACAGTGACAGCTGTGTGTCACAGGGATGAGTAGATGTTGTCTTTCCTAGGTTCTCTAGAGAGGAGAGGCTACACTGTTATTACAAAGAGGGGAGGGTCCAAGACATAGGGTAACTCCTGCTATGTAATGAGCTGGAAGGCACCAGTGTCCCTCAGCTCTTGAAGTTCTTTCACTCTCTTCAAGTCGTAGGCTTACTCTGCCTTACTTCCTTAGTTATAGCTTTAACTTTTGGAATCATGGGGTAGACAAACATCTGCCTGATAACTGAAGCTCACACTACCTACTGTTTCCATCCATCCCACAAGCATCGATTCATGTTGGTGACCCTACAAATACCTCCATATGTTTTCTTCAAACAAGTCACACCCTTAGCTTTTTCCACTTTGCTTAGATAGATACTTGGGATTATTCAATCAGTCTTGATCCACCACTAGTGCTCCAGTTTGTCAGTAAAGAAAGAAACAATTTAGTAACTTTGAAGAATACAGACTGGGATTTCTCCCTTTTTCATGCAGGTGCTTGAAACATGACTCCTGCTGTCTTCCTGGCCATCCTGTGCTTGGCAGTTACCTCAGCTGCTGAATCCTCTGAGCCCATCCTGGATGCAGAACATGAAGACCAGCCAATAAAAAATGAGCAGGTTGGTAATATGGGAGCTGTCCACAAAGATCTCAGAAGGACTAGTCACTGCAGATAGGAGCACTGAAGCATAAGCGAGGTCATAGGGGTCAACTGTCACTAAGGAACTGCTTAAAGTTGTGTGCTATGAACACCATGTGCCTGAAGTGCTGAAACGCAGGGTGTGGAGAGTGGTTGGCTGTGGCCTTCTGAGATCCCAGGGCTTCTCTTGTCTGTCACAGCAAGTCTACTTGGTCAGCGTGTGTGTGGAGTTAATATGAAGGAAATACTGTCACTTATGTTATTTCTAGGATAGAGAAGGATACAGAAGGCAGATATGGGAGGAATTTATGAAGAAGGTTGAACTCTACTATAAGAAGAATGCCCAAAAGAATGACAGCCTCAACACAGAAATGGAAGACATTGATGATTTTGTGAGTGTGGCTTAGATGGCTTAACTCTATGTTTCTTCACTTCACATTTTTACAGTTAGTCTATTGGCTTTCAATGTCTTATTTGCTTTATTGAACTCTCCAATAAGGAAAATGACCAGAATACTGATAGCTTCAACATAGAAATGGAAGACTTTAATGACTTGGTGAGTGTGGCTTAGATGGCTTAACTCCATGTTTCTTCACTTCACATTTTTACAGTTAGTCTGATGGTTTTCAATATTCTGTTTGATTTTTTTTCACGAAGACTGATGCTGAGTTCAAGAATTTGATGGATAAAATTTTGTTCCCAATGTTTGGAGAGGAGGAAAAAGACCAGCCAGCTGGTGATGACGACCCTAAACTTGAGGATTTGTCAAGGAGCGATGACGTGACTCCTGTACAGGATTAGGTATGAAGGTGTCATAATCCCACACTCAACTGCCCACTAGGGAGTAAAGAAAGAAGAGAAGTTCTCACTTAAGTCAGCTGTGGAACAACACACAGTTCACTATTAGCCTAAGTGTTCTGCTGGGTGGATTGTGGCTAGAGTTGATATTTGGTTGTAAGTGACAAACTTTTCTTCTTGTACTGCTTGTTGAACTTTAAACATGGCTAGTGCCATTGCAGGACAGATGTTGTGGTTGGGGGGGGTGGATATTATGACAAAGCCGCCTTGCTGCATTCTTCCTGACTAATGCAACATGTGCTTTGCTTCTAGCAGAGGCAACACGGATGGCAACATAAAGTTAGCCAAGGAGTGAAGCAACCACTGTACCTTTGTCTCAGAGACTTCTGCCCCAAGATGTGAGATGCATGATGGTGAAAAGAAGGTCTGAACTGGGGGAGGGGAGCCGAAACAGCAAGGAGCCTCCCCATCACAGGATCCAACACTCAAATCCCCTAAGAGCCACACTGTGGTGTGAACTCCAAGGCATGTTCACCCTAAAGCAAAGCAAAGCAAAACAAAACAAGACAAAAAAAACCCTACAAAGCCTTTAACCCATGCTCTCAACTCCTTTATATTAATGATTCTCAGAATGATTTTTAGATTTAACTTTAAAATACGAATATACAAATCTGTGTCTTTAAAATAAAGCTTCATTTAACACTCAGTATTCTGGTTTCTTTCTATTTGTGTGAAGGAAATGTTTATGTGTTAACACATAACTCTGCTTGAAGGAATGCCTGACTGTGGGATGGTGTTCTAGGAGGAAGCCCCAGTCAGTTTTACCATCATGGATTCAATATTCCATCTTCGATTAAGCGTTGTTTCTAGGGCTTCAGGTGCCTTCTATCAGCAATGATCTGAAAGTCTATTTGAAAATTTCTGGAATTCAATGATTTTAATTCACATGAATTTGACAAGTAAAAATTGCATTCAGTGCAAAGAGATGGCCCCTCATTCTGTTTGACTGCATGACACCTGTACTATGAACCTCTTTTATTTTTTTTAAATACTAAAAGGCTTTATTCATCTTTAAACTGAGAACAACTCAAATGACATCTATGGGTGAGTGGATAATAAAACTGAAAGTCTTACACATAGGACATGCTCAGCAGAACAAAGAAGCAACCACTAGTGCACAGGGCAGGGGTCTTTGGGACATTGTGCTGAGCTAAAATGCCAGGATAAGTTCCAGACATTTATTGTATCTGTGTTTTCAATGAACACATACTGATCTAAATCCTTTTTACTTTGAAACAATGCATGTATTTTTCTGAAAATTACACACCAGTAATAGTGACATACATTTGTTTCTCTGCATCTTTTGTTTTTTGAGATTATAATTGAAGGGTCCAGACCCTCACCCAGCCCCCTGTTTTGGCAGCTATAACAGGCTGCAGAAAAGACCCAACAAGAGGTAGGCCTCTGACTCAGCAACATGTGCTGAGCTTCCGACCTTGCCAGATCTTGCCCCAGTCACTAGGAAGGCAGATACCCTCCATGTGTCAAGGAACCAATCAAAAGTTAGCTGGTGGGCTCTGGATGGGCTTTATAGTAACAGTGGAGTGCAGAGCATAGCAGCCTCCCTGGGAAGGCCTATAGGCCATAGCAACCTACTTGCAGCTGCAGCTGGCCAATCAGCACAGGACAGGTTGCCCAAGCTCAGAAGTGCACAAATCCTGAGACTGTTGCAGACCCCAGACACTCCCCTTGCTCTACCCCAATAAATTCCCTGCCACATGGTCCCTCCAGGTCCTTCTTGCTCCACCCACTGTGTCAGACAAATGGAGGAACCAAGTTAATGCAGTTAACTCATTAATTAACTAAAGACTCTGCTTTTGCATTGGATTGGGTCTCTTGGTGATTTGGGGGTTCAGAATTTGGACACAACAATAATTACATAATTTCCCCATTCCCTTCCCTCCATACAAACATGCCATATACCTCTCCGTGATCTTTTCCAATTCATAGCTTGATCTTTCAATAAAAATGTTATTACATGTATTCTAAATTACATAAGAACAACCTACTTAGTCTATATAATGCTAATTGTATATATGTTTTCAGGTCTGAACTCTGACATTGGGTACCCAATTGTTGGGCTCTTCCCTGGGAAATGCTCTCTTATTCTCAGCATTCCTCAGTTGCCAGTTCTTTTACCAACTCTACTAATAAAAATACAATCATTAAAATGAAAATAATAAATAGTATTTATGAAACATAACAGAATTCTTGCTGTTTATTGGGCAGTAAGAATATGTTCTATGACTCACAAGACTTGAGTTTCCCTTAGTCCGTGCTTTTGGTCAGATTAGAAATACTGAAAAGGTTTTCAAGATCTGTGAAGAATTGTGTTGGAATATTGATGGGAACAGCAATGACTCTGTAGATTGCTTTTGGTAGGATGACCATTTTCAACATATGAATCCTACTGATCCATGAGTGTAGGAGATCTTTCCATCTTGTAATATGTTCTTAAATTTCTTATCAATAATTGATGATTTTGATGCTATCTTACCATCTTTTCCCTTTGGGTATTATTTCTTCTCTTTTTTCTAAATCTCCCAGGTGTGCTATTTAACCACTAGTATGAATCCCTCAAAAAATTAAATAAATATTTAGTGCTGTGACATGAGCTTTCTTTGTCCCGGCTGGTCCCACAGACCTTGAGCTCCAAATAAACACACTGACACGATATTAATTATGAAACTGATTTTCTGATCAGTGGCTTGGGTATTGCCAGCTCTGTCTTAATTATAAACCCATTTCTATTAATCTAAGTGTTTCCACGTGGTCTTATCTTACTGGAGAAGGATTCAGACCTCTAACTCCTTTGGCAGCTTACAGGTAACTGCTAAGCATCTCAGCAGAGAAGAGATCGATTTCCTGTTTGTCCCTGCTTATATCCTGATTCTGCCCGGCTACATCACTTCGGGTCTGTCTGTACAGACATCCAGACCTCTATGGTTAGCTAGTGGCAAGTTTCTGCCCAGTTATACCACTTCCTGTCTGGCCAATCAGCCAATCAGTGTTTTATTCATTAACCAATAAGAGAAGCATATATATAGAAGGACGTTCCCCAACATAGTGTCATGAACTTTCCTCTTAGGATCATCCCCATTGCATTGTGTCCCATAACTTTGGGACATTTTCATTTAAATCTGAAAATGTTTTAATTTGCTTCTCGATGTCTGTTTGACCCAGTCTTTAGTAGTAAGTTGTTCAGTTTCCATGAGTTTTTAAGATTTCTGCTGTTGTTAATATTCAGCCTGAATTAGTGATGGTCAGAAAGAATGGAAGGTAATTTTTTTAATTTTTTGTATATTTGTTGAGACTTGCTTTGTGCCCAAGTATATGATTGATTTTGGAGTAAGTTCTATGAGTGGCTAAAAGAAGGTAGCTAAGAATACCAACTGAAGGTTGTACTTTGACCATATTGCCAAAAGTCAGGAACACTGAAAACATGAAGAGATTTCTTTTAGTTTGATTGTAATGTGAAACTAAACTGTATTACTACTATCTGTGCATATCAAATTTCTGCTTAGAGTTTCATCCAGTTTGACTTGGGGAGAGCATATGCATTTTTTAGGAAATTATCCATCTATCCATTCAACTCTGCTTATACAAAACATCCAAAAACACCTTCAGATCTCAATTATCGGGCAGACAGGTATTCAGCAAAACTCCAGAGAACATTGAAGGAATGTGGCCATGCATCTGCACTTTTAGTTTTTGTGTGATATATCAAAATAGAAAAAAAAAAAAAAAAAACTTCTGGTCACACATAGGAATTTATATTTTCTGTGATTTCTCAGCCAAAGTAGCTGTATTGCTTCCTCATTCTTGTTCCATCTGCTTCACAGTCACGTGCATAACCATGATAGCCAATGTAATGGTCATGTCCACACAACAGTTGTCACGCATCCAGTCAAGCCCTGTAGGCCACCTTTTTGTATACATGAGATATCTCTTCTTGGGTTTAAACAGTTCCAATGCTTCTACTAAAGCTGTACAGCCCTAGGCTGAGACACTAATGATCCAGCTGGATGACAGGTATCTCTAACATCTCTTGTTTTCTTCTGATTATTTCATTCACACTGAAGATGCTCCTGTCTGTCATAGGCTGAGACACTGATGATCTAGTCTGAGTGACAAGTGCTTCTGACACCTCTGTTTCCTGCTGGATATTTCATCCTCTCTGTGGATGCTCCTGTCTGTCATAGGCTGAGTTTTAGGCAAGGTAGCCACAGACAGGTACACTTTGCTTGACACTTCAAATGTGCTATCAGCAGCGCCTTCACAGTTCTCAGGCTAGCCTGTGTTCTCCACACTGATTGTGCGACCTACTGTCTGCCCTCAATGGGTTCATCTTATGACAATTCTGTTGTTTCTGAAGATTGCTAATTATGCAGAACAGAGAACATTCCACCAGTCTTCGGAATTTCAGACGAGCCGCATTCTGTATGACACAGCCTTTGCTTGGGGTCTGGTTAGTCTCCAGAGTTATGTTTTCCTGCCTAGGATGCCTGACTCACTAGTCAAGCTAGCTTATATTTCTACTCTGTGGGCCAGGCTTAGGCTTCAGGGAGGGCTAGCCATTGGTCCAGGAAGGAAAAGGTAGAGCCACAGGCTGCTCTGCTCCTGCCCCACTAGATTCTTCTATAAATAGCACTTAGGAGGCTTTGGACGCACAGTCCTTGTTTCCTTCTTTGAACAGAAGCTGCTGCACTCCAGGAAGGAGCTGAGACAAGCAAGGTACACAGGCCCTGAATCTTCCTGACTCATGCTGCGTGAGCTTTGCTCTGGTTACCTGCAACTTTTCTTCTTTTTCTAGGTTTTTGTTGTTGTTATTTTTAAGATAATAATATGATGACATCAGTGCTATATTCCCTTTCTTCCCTGAAAGCTCCCTCATTTACCCATCCTGATTTACCACTTCTGATTCCTATTTAAATTCTGGCTGCTTTTTTTCATTAATTGTGGCTACATTCGTAAATCCATATACATAAATATACCTAACTATAATATAGTCAGCATGCATAGTCAGATGTGTCTGTATGTTTTCAGGGCTGACCACTTGGTATTGTACAAGTCCTTGTTCCCTAGGTTTTGAAGACCTCATTAGTGCTGTCTTACTGCTTGAGAATGGCCTCAGCTGCTCTATCACCTGATCCCAGTTTGGATGCTGAATGGGAGGAATGGAAGATGAAATTTGAAAAAACATACAGCCCGGTTGGTAACATGGGCACTGCCCAGGGGGATTTCAGAAAGAATGGACCTTGCTGTTGGGAGTCTGTAGGCATAAACGTGGTCAGAGAACAGCCATTACTAAGGACTTGCTTAGACATGCACTTTGAACTCAAGGGCCAGCCTGGCTGATACTCTGGGTGTGCAGGATACCTAGCTGTAGTGACCTGAGATCCCTCTCCATGGGTCCTCTTGACTCGTCACTACACTCCACAGGAAATATTGTCTCTTATATGTGTCAGGATGAAGAAAGATACAGAAGACCGGTGTGGGAGGAAGAGAAGAAAAAGGTTGAAAAGCATAATGCAGAGTACGAGCAGGGCAAGACCAGCTTCTTCATGGGCCTGAATGAATTCAGCGACATGGTGACTGAGATCTGGATTGTTAACTCTGTGTTTCTTTTCTGTATGCCTTTCCAGTATCTGTTGGTTTTCAATGTTTTATTTGCTTTTCCATGAAGACCTTCGAAGAATTCAGGAAAATGTGCTGTGGAAACGTGGTATGGACAGAAGAAGAACTGGATTGCGATATACACAAATATAAGGATTTGAGAAAAGACAATGTGACGCCTGAGAGGGATCAGGTATGACACTCACATTTCTACCGTCAAGTGCCCACAGGGAAGCCGAGAAGGAACTGAAGTCCACATTTATGTCAGCTGTAAAACAGCACACAGTTCACTGTTTGACTAGGTGTTCTGTTCTGTGGACTATGGCTAGAGTTGACATTTGGTTGTAGATGATAACCAGTTCTTCTTGCTCAGGGTACATGTACTACTTGTTGAGTTTTAAACATGGATGGGTGCCTTGTAGGACACGATGCAGGGGAGATATTAGGACAAAGTCACCTTTCTGCATTCTTCCTAAATAAACCCACATCCGTGTTGCTTCCAGCCAGAGTAACAATTTCAGCAGCAATGGCAACATTCTTTTAACCTGGGAATAAAGCAGTCAATATACCATTGCCTCAGGAGCCCTCTACCTCAAGATGTGACCAACATGATGGTGGCAAGGCTGGACAAGGGGTAAAATAGAAGAAGAAACAGCAGGGGCCTCTTCATTGCAGTGGCTAGTCTGTGCTGTGTGGAATTCAACCCTGGAACCCTTTAAGATACACAATGTGATATGAAATCTGAAGCCTGATTTCACTATAAACGCACTATAATACTATAATCTGTGCTCTCAATTACTTTATATTGTTGATTTTCACAAGGATATCTAAATTTTCTTTAATAAAAAGAATATAAACCACGATGTCTTAAAAGTAAAGCTTGACATTAAATGTAGTATTATGCTTTCTTTATGGTTTTGTTTCAATAAGATTTTATGTCATTAAAGCCTTCTGGTTGAAGGTATACCTGGCTTTGGGATAGTATTCTAGGAGAAGGAGTGCACAATTCTCTTATTATAGACCAGTTCCCCATCGCTGGTTGAGCTTTGTCTCCAGAGCCTCAGGTGCCCCTTTCCTGCAATGATCTGAAAGGTGACAAGGAATTTTCTGGGATTCCAACTTATTAAATCTAATGAGTTGAGCAAATATAATTGGTTACTGGAAAGCATTCAGTGCAGAGATGGCAACTTCTGTCCACTGCCCTGATGCTGTGTCATGAACCTCATTCTATATGAACATATGAGTGACCTGTACGAGCTGTGTTGTGACCACATAAAAACCATCTAAGGGATGAAGTCTAGGGTCACAGAAGTGTAGGCAATGCTCAAGTGACTATCAGAACCCAGCAGAGCCCACTCATGCAAAAAGGTAACGACTGTCTCTTGGTTCAATTGCATTCACTCTAACATCAGAAGTCATCATAGTTTCAGGAGGGTTCAAATCTCCAAAATTATTTTTTTTTCTTTAACCTCAAGGAAGTCAACCAACTGTGACTATCTATTGAATTATCAAAATAACAGCACATTACAGACTTACAGCAGACAACTGCACAAAGTGTAAATTTCCACTCCAAAATGGAATTATGGGGACATATCAAGGAACAACAAGTTCAGAGCAAAACAATAACCAATCAGGTAAAGTACCATATCCTCAATTCCATGGCTGACACAGACAACTGAGTGCCTCAGATATAATGGCTATAGGACTGGTAGACTTTTTCTCAGGCTTGTTCTTGCCATATGTGTAGCTTTAGCCATCTTTGGTGGATATCCCCTGACTCTGGTCTCACCACCTCCTGTGAATTTCACTGCAAGTTAGATTTCACTTTCACAGTTCCATGAGCCTACCTTTTAGAGCCTGGTTGCAGAAGCTCTTAACTAAGAACAAGTGCCTCACCCCAGTGTCTCTCAGAATCCATGACTCACCAAATATTGGGGTTTTAATGCCTATAGACCCAGTTGTTCACAAATTATATCACCTGGTTTTTCGACACACTTGGGTAAAGATTGACACTTTGGAATCTGGAGACAGAAATTTCTGTCTCACTTGATCCCACAGGACTTTAGTCCCAAATAAACACACAGAGGCTTATATTAGTTATAATTAATATAATGACAGAGGCTCAGTCATCTTATTGGCTAACTCACTCTTAATTATTAACCCATTTCTATTAATCTATGTATCTCCACATGGTCTTGGCTTATCAGAGACTGCCCAAGTGTTTCTATCTTCTCTATAGCTACGTGCCATCCCCCGCGTGACTCACTCTCCCTGTACCTCTTCCCAGAATTCTCCTTGTCTGGCAGTCCTGCCTATACTTCCTGCCTGGATACATCATGCCTGTCCATTGGCTTAAAAAGCTTTATTCATCAACCAATAAAAGAAACATATATTCACAGGATACAGAAGGACATTCCCCATCAGAGATCTTAAACACATAGTTTTCTATGCACCAGTCCTGGGAACTCATTTCTTTTTTTTTAAATCTTTTTTAAAAATTTAAATTAGAAGAAACAAGATTTTTTACATGCCAATCCCCATTTCCTCTCCCTCCCTGCTTCCCCTGCTCCCCACTAACACTCTACCTATCCAATACCATTTCTGCTCCTATCCTGGGAATTCATTTCTTTTTTTTTTTAAGTCTTTTTTAAAAATTTAAATTAGAAGAAACAAGATTTTTTTACATGCCAACCCCCGTTTCCTCTCCCTCCCTGCCTCCCCTGCTCCCCACTAACACTCTACCTATCCAATACCATTTCTGCTCCTCAAGGAGAGTGAGGCCTTCCATGGGGGGTTCTTCAGAGTTTGTCATATACTTTGGGATAGGGCCTAGGCCCTCCCCCGTGTGTCTAGGCTCAGGGAATATCCCTCTAAGTGGGATAGACTCCCAAAATCTATTCCTACTACGCTATGGATAAGTACTGATCTACTATAAGAGGCCCCATATATTTCCAAGGCCTCCTCACTGATACCCACATTTATGGGATCTGTATCAGTTCCATGCTGGTTTCCCAGTGATCAGTCTGGGGGCCAAGAGCTCCCTCTTGTTCAGGTCAGCTGTTTCTGTGGGTTTCACCAGCGTGGTCTTGACCCCTTTGCTAATCAATCCTCCTCTGCAACTGGATTCCAGTTCAGTTCAGTTTTTAGCTGTGGGTATCTGCTTCTACTTCCATCAGCTGCTGGATGAAGGCTCTAGGATGGTATATAAGTCAGTCATCAATCTTGTCATCAGGGGAGGGCATTTAAGGAGGCCTCTCCTCTGTTGCTTAGATGGTTAGTTTGTGTCATCCTTGTAGATCTCGGGACACTTCCCTAGTGCCTGATTTCACTTTAAAGCTATACTGGCTCTCTCTTTGGTGGTATCTCTTGTTTTGCCTTCCTCTATTACTCCCCCTACACAACCTTCCTGCTCCTTTACGGAGTAGTTTTCCAGAAGAACCCCAAAGGTTCTACAATCAACCCATGCTGGCTCTGCCATTGTTACAGGCATGTATTTGAGTCTGTAGGGGAGACATGCCTTTTTTCAAGGTCTTAAGTCTCAACAATGAGCCTTAAAAATACACATGGATGGTTAAAAGAAAGCAGAGCATTTGCTAAATGAGAAATAGTCAAGTGTTTGTAGGGCATTAGAAGCCAGGCTAGGGGTGTCCAGTCATGTCTCTCCTGCTACCTTACCTCTGTTAATGTCTGGAATTTCCACCTCCAACCTGCTCCTGTTCAGTATCTTCCTGCCTCATCACCATCTAAGCACAACCTGTGAGGCTGTGGGATTTGGTTCACATTCAGACAGTAAGCAACATCAACACAATTGTCACAGTTTTTCTCTGTGATTGAAGGTTATCCATCAGGATTGTCCTCCTGTATATAGAACAGACGTTTTATATATTATATAAGTATACTATATAGCTGAAGTATATGCACAGCTATTCATGATGGCTTCCCAAACTTTACACAGGCCAATTCACCCCACTTTCCTCATTGTGCCAGGTCCATGTCACAAAACCATGAGACAAATGTATCCTCCAAAATGGAAATCAGCACCCTCACCTTGTTATACAAACTTTGCATGATAGGCTGGGTTCCAGCTACTGCCAGCCCCTTGTCCTACTGAAGGGTATTTAAAACCTATTCTTGGTTTTCTGGTGTCAGCATTAATGTATTCACCATCAACAAATCCCTTTCTTGTTCTCGTAAACTTATGATACCTTCCTTCTATTTCAGTGTCCTGCTTCTCATTTAATGACCCACATATGTTGCCCTGATACACACGTAAATCCAATCTCACACATCATAATACCCATGCTATTTGTCTTTAATACTCTGCTTTCATTTTCTAAACATAATAATCTACAGTTACAGGTTTTTCCTACAAATGCCATCATGTCATGAAAGAATGTATATTGAATAAACACGTGTGTTTCCTTTATTCATTCATCATCTGGTGGATGACTAGTCTGGTCACATGTCTTAGTTATTGTGAATGGTACAGCAGTGAACACAGGTATATGGATGACTCAGGTGTGCTGACTTAGCATCTCATGTCATATTCAGCAATGGTATAATTGTATTTCAGTTATAATTTTGTTTCTTGATAAACCTGCTCATAGAATTTCCAGTGTCTGCAGTGGTCCACATCCCCATTGGCAGTAGACTGTGTCTCTTTCCTCAGAATAGCACTTGCATGAGCTTTCATTTGGTGATACTCTGACTCTGAGAGCAGTTTGAATTTGCACTTCCCTTGTTGATAAGGACAGTGAAATTTAACTTGTTTTTAACTATGGACACATGTAAAAGGAGTTTTTAAATAGTCTATGTAATAAAATCCCAGAGTCAGATACAAAGTAAAATGCTGAGAGACCAGAGAGAAGGAGCTAGCTACCACCACACCTTACCTCCTTAGTGTCTCAGCAGACAAGACATGAACTTCCTGTTTCTCCCTGTTTATATCCTGTATTTCCCAAGCTATCTCACTTCCTGTCTGTCTATACAGACCTCCAGACCTCTATGGTTAGCTAGTAGCAAGCTCCATTCTATCACCTTCTGACAGACTTTATTTGTACAAAGAAGATGTCACTACGGACAAACCTTCTTAGATAACTAGTCAGTTAATTGGCTGTTTTAAGCTATATTTATTTTTCAATTTTTGAGATTATAATATAATTATATAATTTCCTGTAGGGGATGCAGTAGCACACCTTCAAGGGTGTGGTCAGGGTGATGTAGGGAAGGTTTAAGGGTGAGAGACGCTCATGTGGTGGGCTTTCATTCACTTTCATCTTCCGCTTGCTGTACTTACTGCTGCCCCGCTGGCTGGCTAGGTCACTCTGTAAGTAAGGCTTTTCGTATTAAATTCCCTTGTATTTTTACCTGGCTCTGTATTGGTAATTTCTCACAATAATTTCCCTCTCCCATTTCCTTCCTCTAAGTATTCCCATATATCCACTCTTTCCTTAATGCCAAACACAATAGAGTCAGAACTAAATTGACTTTCAGGTAGTTTATAAAAGGGGATAGTACTCGTGCAAGGGCCAGTGACCAGGTTTACACCAGAGGTGGAGTTACCTGCAAATGTCTGCTCAGCTGGGTGGGAGAGAGAAAAAAGAGGGTCACGTGCGTGCCTCTCTGATATTTAAACCCTTGCTATATCACTCTGACCATGCCCAAACGGGTGTAGTCAGTGGTACCTAGCCAGCCCCAAGCAGGCATGATCAACAGTACCTCTAAACAGGATTACTCCATACACTTCCTCTATTTGTAACTCATGACCCATTTTTTTTTATTGTTTGTTATTACATCAAAGTGTGTGTGTACATGTGGAGTTCTTTTCTTTTTTCTGATTTTTTAAAATTAGAAACAAGCTTGTTTTACCTTTCAATCA